ACCGTTGATTTAATTTCTTTCCTTTCATTATTGGTGAAGCTGATCTTATTTAGTGGAGTCATTGGCCATTCATGTTTCGTTTTTTGTACATTACCTATTTATATCCTTTGCCCATTTTTCTATTCTGCCTATCTTTTGTTACTGGCCTTTGATGATTGGAGTAACAGCCGCAGCTAACATTTAATGAGTATGGAGCGGTAAAAGCCAGGCCCTGTGCCAGGTGTTCTAAGGTTAACCCCACACAATAAGACAGGACTGTTACCATCCCTGTTTAACCAATGAGGCAGCTGAGGCACAGAGAGGTTAAGGAACTCACCCACGGTAACAGAACCGAAAAAGCTGGAATCAAGAGGAGATTCGCAATTTCTCATGTATTTATAAGGACCATTAACCTAGCTATACATGCATTGAAAACGATTTCCTTGCTTTATCATTTGACATTTAATTTTTAATTTTTTTTTTTTTTTTTGGCTAGAATTGTTTGACTGTATTGTCATCAGACAAATTGGCTTTTTCTTTTATGGTTTCTGCTTTTGATATCATGATCATCCAAAAAAGTATTTAAATAAATATCACTCCAGCACATTAAAAACATTCAGATGATCTAGAAGAACATAAAATAAATATTTAAATAATCTTTTTCCCTTTGGCATAGTTCATGGGACCTACACAGCAAAAGTATCTTCTTTTAACCATTTATGTTTTTGTATCTCCTGATGGTTCTGCTCCAACTCTTAATAATATGCATACAATACATCTCTATTTTTTTATTTATCAACTCTACACAGCATCTATTGGTTTCTTACTATCTCAGATGCAGAATTTTAGTTAACTTATCCTCCCTTTTCTCTTTGCCTTTCTCCACCTTACTTCCACAAGTAATATCAATTTTGGTTGTGAGCACCTTTATAACCTCAAATAATAGACTCCCACCTCTATTTCTTGATTTATCAACTTTGGACAGTATGTCTTAACTAAGCGATTCATTTTTAATGCAGGCCATCACATGTAAAAATGATTATTCTTGGATCGTAAAATACCATATTTATGAAGGGATGCCTCAGTAGAACCAGGTCTATCTTTAGTCTTTTTCCTAAAACTAAAATATCCTTGTAAGTAGAATAAAAGACATTAATAAAAATGATGACCTAAGTTATATTTATATCACACAGATTACAGAGATTATAGAGCTTCTCCAACTGCACTGCTTTATTTACTGCTCAGAATAGTTTTGTAATGTATACAGAACAGCCATCCTTAACATTTTATAGATAAACAAGCATAGAGAGTTTATGGCCATAGAAAATCATTGTAGTGTCCACCCGAGTTTTATTTTGCTGTGTTTCTACCCAGCATCCACTTTTCCTTTATCATGGCAATACTATCTAAGCAATAATTCCACCTTCCCCAAGTCTGAGCCCCTGGGCTTCCATGTGGAGGAGATTATTCCATGGAATTCATGGAGCATGTAACTTACACCTGAGACAATAAATGCAGCACCTTCCCCTGGCCACTGTGATTAGCTCTAAGTAGTTCTGAAACTGCAGCAGAATTTATAACGTGTAGTGAGATTTAGGCTGGGAATGGTGAGGCAGAGATTCTTGGTCTATTCTTCTGAAGAAAGAGACAGTCCTAGGAAACGCTGGCAGGCATCTTGCGACTGGACAAGAAGCTAGGAAGAAGTGGAGTGAAGACAGAAGGAATCCCAATCATTTCACTGGACCCTTTCCTGAGCCATTTCAATTTCTATTGTCTAGATAAACCAGGTAACACAGAGTCCCTTTCTGTTTGCCCCAATTTAGGTTGGTTTCCTGTCAACTGTAGTAATTGAACAGTTAATTAGTGGTGATCTTGACACCAGATCTTTTGACTTTGAATCTAGGCTGCTTTCTACTCTACCAAGCTGCCTCTGAAATTAATGCCTTTGTTCAGGATGGAAACACAAGCATCAATATATCTTTTGTCTTCCTTTGTAACCTATTAAACAACTTTCAGAAATGCAAATCCATCATGTGAGATTCATTCCTGAGCCGTAGGCACACATGGCTTGGGCATGACTGTCATTCCCTATAGTCTTGCAATGAAAGTATGGGTCAGAGACGAGCTAGTTTCCTAAACTTTTTGTAAGTTTTATTTAGGATGCACAATTCTGCATAGAAACATGATATAGCACCTACCACCTGGTGCTATGCACAAGAGTCGTGGTCATCCAATTTAATTATATTAGTTGTCTGAAATTCAGAGCACATTTAGCCTAAGAAACAGTATTATAATTAATCATTTGCTTCTTAGACTAGCAAAGAAAAGCCACTTTAATCTAAAATGCGGCTAAATGCTAGAGCACAGTCCTGCCTCAGTACTAACAATTAAAAATGTAAAAATACAAAAAGGGAAGAGAATGGTTCTTAAGAAAGGCGATCTGCTGGCCGAGGTGGGAAGGTAAATGAAAGTGTGTGGTCATTTCAAAGGGGCTCTGGAGGATTGCCAAGGGCCATAGGCAAGAATTATTTGGATTTTTTATTATCTCCAATTTCACATCAAAATATACAATTTTCTTTCTATGATACAAAAATAGCTCTACCACTGTTCTCAAACTTCATAACCATACACGATGGAACTAAGAAGGGGAAAACACAACAGAGACTTTCATTTGTTCTTTGTCCTTCCAGACCATAGGCTCTGCTATCTGATTGCTGGCTACAAGGGCAGTTACCCAATGCTGTGTTGGACGGGAATTGGTGGAGATACACGTACCGGGGTGAAATAGCAGCTCAGCCTGTGTGCTGGTGATTTCTGAGAAGGAGGAGATGAAAGACTCGATGAGGCAGAACCAGAAGCTGGGGAGGACAACCCAGGAGGGGTGGGCTATGTTTGTACAAAGGCCTGGGGGCACCACCCCGAGAGCTGTGTTGGGGTGCTCACGTGATGTAGCGTGAAGAGAAAGAACAGTGGAGAGACACATTCTGAACTTTTATTATTATAGTCTGAAAGTCATAGAAAACTTTCAAAAATATTTACATGGGGCTTTCCAAAGGGAACTAGAAAGTGGTTGGAAGAGGGAGAGTGGAGATAGGATAGTACAAGGAGAGGAAATATGTGTGTGCCCGCAAATGTAGAGATTGCTGGGTGTGCTGTACCCTAAGTTTAAGAAGCAAGTGAGAATAAGTGAAGGGAGCAGCTTGGAAAACTGTGCCAGGAGGAGCAAGGTTAGTCACAGCCCTGGTGACAGACAGTCCAGACCCAGGACATGGGAGGGACAGACCTTTAGGGAGGGCCCTGCAAGAGACTGGAGGGGTCCAAACCCACCAGATGAAAGAAAGAGTCTGTAGATTTGAATGTGTGGACTTTTGGAAGTTAGGATAACCTTTATTTTAAATTGGAACTCATCGGGGTCACTCTGCACAATACCAGAATCACCAAAGCTGGGGAGCACAAGAGTTCAGCGAGAATGGCTAATGTCTCATTTCTGGGGAGAAAGATCTCCCCATGGCGTGGACACCATGTTGTTAAGACAGGGGTAGAAGGCCGGGAAAGGTGCCCCAGGAAGAACCAGACATTGACCTGAGGAGCCAGCAGCATACTGCAGCAGGTGCTCCCGGACCACCCCCCCCCCCCAGCAGCATCCACATTCGCCCTCAGAGTCTGCATTTCCATGGCAAACTTTGTGAATGGTGATACTGAAAGCCGAAACACTGAACAGTCCCTGGTTGTGGCTGCAGGATTCTGCCGCGAGCTCATTTGTGCTTTAGTGATTTGGCTTTGCTTAGCCTTTCACAACTGGGCAGCTCAGGAAGTAAAAAGGAGGGAATCAGCAGATTCCTTAAACTTTTTACTCCAAACATTCCTTTCATGCCGGTATTTCTTGGGCAGGGTTTCCTGATGTCCTAGCTAATTGTTCTCGGTGTTGCTTCAAAGCCCCCTTAGCTTTTGTGAACCCACCCATGGCTTTTGCTCTTACTTTGCACTCACTGATATTTCCTTTTAATGCAGGAAAGGCCATTCTCCATGGCCAGGTGAAATATCAGGGTATTCAGAGGCTCCCACTTGAAAGTTGCTGAATTCTGTGACACCTGTGGAGTGGCAGCCTTAAGAAATGTCAACTGGCAAAAAGAAATGAAAAGGGGCAGTTCAGCTCCATGGCTTCCAGCTCCCTTCTGTGAGATCTGACTTCAGAAAAACCCTTTGTCACTTCACAATACATTTTCAGCCGCATTTGAAGTAATTAACACTCAGAATAGACTCCTTTTGTCACATGGAATTATCAGATATCTGCTGTCCTTTCCTTCGGGATGTTTGACAGTTGCCCAAACTGTGGGTCTTAATCTAAAACCAAGAAGAGACCTCTGACTTAGCGAAAGCCACCAGCGTGGCATTTATTAAATATAAATGGTTAGTATGTGAGGGGAGGTGAGAAAAGGGCTCTCATCCCAAAAAGAAGACCCTTTCTAGCTCAAAGGGAAATTACACATGAAGCGCCATCAGTTTCATTTGTCATGTGATGATTTAAAGATGTGGCATTCCTACACAGCATTCCATCTGCATTCAGAAATAAAAAGTGTTCTGACCCTCAGGTTCTACCTCCAATCTGCCAAACTCACTATAAATACACGTGTTTCTATGAGTCTATTATCTGGAAAGTGACTTTTATAAGAAAAAAAAAAGATATTGATTTGAAATGAAGGAAGCTCATTTATGTGCATTTTAGGAACCCTAAGTGAATCAGCTAAATATATGCACTAAGGAAAGAAATGTTACCCTCTGGGTAGTATCTTGTAATAAGCTAGAAACGTGGAAGTCATTAATAGTATTAGAAATTAGATGCCTAATGAATTGTGCCCATTATTGGAGATTTTCTGTGATAACACTTCTTTAAAAGCTAGAAATGGCCTGTATCTCCATGGAATAAGAGAAAAGATTCTATTAAAGCCATAAGAAATTATCTCCAAGTGAAAGCAGAGTTCAGATAGTCAAAGAAACACAGGACACTTTCTGGTACTCACTACGTAAGGACTATGGCCACCGCGTCGTTCAACACACTCTCCCCAAACAGGAGGGCGTACAGGTCAGGGTCCACGTGCAGTTCATGGAAAATGGCCAGCACCGTCACTAGGAAGACACACAAACACGTGGCGTTAGCTGCAACTCAGGTGTGGACTTTTCCTTGCTGTGGTCACCTCTAAAAACAAATTCATTACAACCTGATGTTCTCAAATCCATCCTCTATACCAGCGCTTCTTAACCTGTGGGTCATGATCCCTTTTTTCAATTTGTAACAACGCGGCAATTAGGAAGATTGAGAACCACGGCTCTATACCAACACCAAACCTGTATTCAAAAATATCTGATCATGTCACCACCACCTCCCCACGCCCCATTCAGGTATTTCTTTGGGCTCTCCACTGCTTACAGAGAAAATGTGAGCTCATTGGTACAAGTGCTGTGCACTCTGCATCCTGTTGACCTTCCAGCAACATCTCCTTGTAACTCTGGCCAACCCTTTGCTGCCTCCCATCCCGAATTTGCCATAATTTCCCAAACATACTATGTAGTTTCTTAACTACTTTGTATTTTCCCTTTACCAGAAAAGAAATTTCTTTCTTAACCACATGGTACCATCCCCTTCATTCCTGAAATGCACAGATACTTACACTTCTTGTTACCAAAGCCCCCCCCCTTTTTTTTTCATTCTTTAAGAACCTCTCAAGAGTTCCCCTTCCCAATCTTTCAACTTTCTTAGCTGAGACCTTGCTTTGTGGAGTCCAGCATTTGGATAGAATCATAGATCTTATGACAGAAGGGACTGGGAACTCCTTGGGGATGAGGCCCATCTTTGTAACACATGATATTTGACCAAACTCAGTAACTGTTTGATGCATGAATGACCGAGAAAATGAGTGAATGAATAAACAAATGTTGTTGTAGTGGCCTGCTCCTGTGAAGGGGGAGGTGGTCATCCCGGGCTCTCGCTCTCTCCTGAGATCACACTCATCTGTTAAGGTGGACTTGCAGGTCCTAAGAGCAGGACCTCAAGGCTCATTTCTGGTGGTGGGCCGCGGGCTTACTGTATGTCACGTACGTGTATTAGGCCTCTGGGAATAGTGTTCATAAAACTTCTCAGTGCCTTGATATTTGAAACAGTTATGCGAACTGTGAACAGAAATTATTAAGAAAATGATCCATTGAATTGATGGCCGAGGGGGAAAGAGAGTGGTTGAAAATGATACTCCGTGGTAAATTTTTAAGGCAGAGCGGAGGCTCGTAACTACATTTCATGAAAGAGAGCAATGGGGAAAGAAAGAAAAAAATGCAAGTGAAGTTTGAAAATCGTGACGAGGCTGTCCTGTAACAGTAGAAATTGAGGAGGGTTTTAATAAGAGGGATGAGACAGTCTGAATTGAATTTTGGAAACAAAGCTCAGACAGCAGGGCAGAGGGCACGAAGGACACGTGGCTGGAGGCTTTCCCCCAAATTCCAGGGAGAGATGAGTTGCACAGGACAGGAAGAGATGAGGACTGAGGCCCCAGACTGCCACAGGCTGGGCTCTGCACTGCATGTCCACCACCCGGGGTTCTGGTAGACCAGCCACTCCAGGGCTCTGCACTTCACCAGCCCTTGACACAGGGCTGCCACATAGACAATGCAGGCAAGGACTGAGCAGAGGAGAAAGCACCCTTGAGCTACAGTATCTGAGATGGAGAATTAGTGGAGCTTGGGGCTTGAGAGACAGCAAAGAACGACTCCAGAGTTCAATCTATTATATGACATGTGACCATGTTTCATAATAATATATCACAGGCTTGACAATTGCAAACAGAGTAGATTTTAAGTGTTCACATTACAGACACGTGTGTGGCACACTGCATATGTTAGCTTAATTTAGCCATTCCACAAGGTATACATATTTAAAAACATCATGTTGTATACCATAAATATATCGACACCATTTTTATTTGTCAATATATACATTTTTAAAAAGAAGGTACTACAAGAATACAAAAGAAAAAAAAATGAAATGTCATCCATTGACATGACCGTTGGCCAGATCCCACATGGCATCAATTCTATTGTTCTGGCTAAGTTGGCCCCAGTCATCACAAAAAGCGAAAGGGCACAGATTGCTCTCTGCTCCCTTGTAGCTGTTAGCACTTGCCACAACCCTTAGTCTTTGTAGGTGGTGGAAGCAAGAACAAGCACTCCTGGTAAATAATCTTGCTCCTTTTTGCATGAAATCAAAACCCTGTGTTTAAACAAAACAAAGAGATTTTTCAGTGGGGGTGGGGTGGGGGTGAACAACATTTTCCTTTTGCTTGGATCTTGTGGAATAAACTTGAAGTGAGTTTTTACTAGAAAATGTTATCATGGCAGTTCTATTGTTGATGGGAGTCTCTGTAGCTGTCATTTATATTGTCAAGCCCTGAAGATGATTCGCAGCTTATCTGGACTCCTGAGGTTTCCTAGGTGCACAAATAAGGATGGAAGGCCCTGGTTTCCTTCCCCAGTTAGAGAGCCCACTCTGCCCTTGGTATCCTTCCAATGAGAACTCTGAGCCTTTGAGATCAAAGGCTTTTAATTGAATATCCAGTCTTGTTCAAAACTGTTCTGACATTCCCACAATTCCTTTTGAACAAAGAACTGAACTCCATTTCATAAATGATATCCCACACAAAAGAGAAAGCTATTACTCTGTGCATTCCTATCTACTCTGTGAAGAAATGGAACGGCTTTAAAATAAAGCCGGGCAGTGTGTCCTACAAAAGAGAGTATTTTGCTGGGACCCCAAGTGAGTCAAATAGGTGAGTCAGGAAATTAGCCACCCACTCTGCTGCTGAGCTTCGAGCTTTTGTAAAAACTCATTTAATTAGCTCCCTGGCAAGGTTCAATCTTATACGTACAATGTCCAAGACGTTCAGCGGTACCTGCCCAAGACAGAGTCCTTGGGACAGCTGTGGACATGGCCACATCAGCTCTGCCCATACCCTGGCCTGAGGCTGGGCTCCAAGGCAGTGTCCATTTAGATGAATCCTTTTTGGGATTCACAAAGAGAACACTCTACACACTGTGTGGACGGGAAAGGTAGAACACACAGTCTGATTTTTATCTGGGAATTTGCTTATTTTTGCCTTTATCCTACACTTAACTTTTGAGGCAGGTTTCCACAATTAACTTTTGACTTGTAGTCCTTCTCCTCTACAGAGGTCACTACAAAAATTTTGAGACACGCCGTGGTTATGGTCCATTATTTTGCATCCAAGAAACACAGTGGGCAGCACCCTTTCTGATTCACCCATGCAAGTTTCGAGTCCCTTGGGTTATCGCTGTTGCTGTGAAGGCTTCTTTTGTTTCCACTGGTGTGGATTTTATGGTTCTTGATTTTTGTGTATCTCAACACTTTTGTAGTGACCTGTACATACCCTCTTTCTACCTGTTGTCTTACCTAAAGAAAAAAACATTATCTCATGCTCAAATAGATGAGCACATGCACACACACAGACACAGACACACATACCCCTGCCTCTAGGGTAAGGGTGTTGTAGGAGTATGGTGACTGAGAAATGCCACTGAATCCTTGGACAGCTTTGAGAAAGTCACTGCAGGAGTTAAAATAGCATGGGGCTGTGTGCACTGCTGGGAAGCTGGCAATCAGGGATGGAGAGGATAACAGCCATAGCCGATGGGGTATAAAGCCGAGTGAGAGTTTTGCTTAAACATCTGATTTACAGGTTGAACAGAATAAGCCAGAGGAAAGAAAGGCTGAAGACAGAGAAAAAAGAAGAGAAAACTGCTGGAGCAAGGTCTGGAGAAGGCAGAGGACAACTGAGGGGCAGAAGGGGAGTGTGAGTTCTTACTAAAGCAAGACCATCTGCTGAGAGTCGGGGAGTGATGAGAGTTAGAGGCTAAGGGAAGGTGGGAAATGTGCAGATCATCTCCAGGTTAGGGAAGGGGGATGAATTCAAGTTTCAAGATAAACTGTTAAAGTCAAATATAGGATAATTCTCAGTCCACAAAAGAAAACCCCTAACACACACACACACACAAAATGGTGTTTTAACTAATTTATTCATCCCATCAAGAGTCTTGTTCCCTACTGTAACTCTATTGTAATATTAAAACTAACCTTTTCTCATCTCAAAAATAAGAAGCATATGTGGAGATTAAAACACACACACACTTGACTGCCTGACCCCATCAGTACTTCAATGTGCTGATTCTTAAAAGAGGTTTTGCTTTTTCTTTTTTTTTTTTTAACTGTCATCATCTGTTCAAGAGACTTCTTGCTTGCTTCTCTTTCAATAACTTCTAAGTGTTCAGGGTGATTTAGTGATGGCCCCTTCCCTAGACTCTTCATTAGCAGCTCTCTGACCAATATTGTCTTAGTGTTTTGCAAGGAATTTAAATTTCAAATGATATTTTTTAGTGTGGCCACTCTCACTAACCTAGCAGAAGATATGTTGGGGCCAACAGACAACACAATACAGTAGTAGTTCCTACCCCTCTCATTCCAAGTTGTCACTCAGACTTGTTAAAATGCTGTCCTGGGGCGTGTTCTCAGTGGTGTCCTGTGCAAGTCAACAAATACAATACTCATCTGTGACACCGGAGAATCAAAAATGCCTCAAGCTTCTGCAGCTGAATCCATGTCAGCCCTGACAGGTGGAGAACCCTGGTAGTCTCATAAATGAGGCACCATTTTTCCATTTCCTAAAATAATTACTGGGAAATGTATTTTCTTTTTCTCAGAGGGAGGAAGAAATTCTCCTATAACTTTATCCATTTTCCTGGAATATTGTATGTAGTGAGATTATTAAGGAAAGACTTCCAATAATGTGGTGATGTCCAGGCATCGGCTGGAATACTGCAATTATTCTGAGCCCTTTCCTTCTCAATGAAGACCTGGCAGCAGAATCAGGGCATAGACTGGATTTGCCAGTCATGCTTTGCCAATCATAATTCTGGAAATGCAACTAAAACACCTAACCCTTCTGAGCTAGGTCAGAGAAACAACGCCAGATGTGGAAAGGTAATCACTAGATGTTACTTTGTTGAGGTTATTCTGAACTAAAAGCTACATGACTGACTTAGCCCTAAAACACTGCAATTTTGTTTGG